TAATAAGGTCCATTGGTCCTTAGAGAAGTCCCCATCAATAAATAAAGACAAACCTTCATCTTCAGTCATCGCTCGCTCACATTTGGACTCATTGTGTGACTTCCAAGATTGTCGAATTTTTGTTGCTCTAGTGGGAGTTGTTTGCAATGCTTCATGAACCAACTTAGCCGCATCCTCCGATCCATCAGCACGTGCCTTCATTTCCGTTGCATAAGCCAGTTCCTCGCTTGTTCCCGAATCTCTCAGAACTTGAACCCTGCGTCTCTTGTTTTTTTTATTCAGCTTAGTGAATGTTTTTTTTTTCGGTCGTCCTTTGGCACTTCCGTGTGAAATTTTTGGAAAAACGTTTTCCTTCAGCCAATCTGCGTTTGCAACTAGAAAGCAGCTAAGCGTACTGTTAGCCCTCCTCCAGCGCTTATCTAGATCTGCACAGAACCTTGCAATAATTTTTTTCACATTTTCGTGGTTGTCTTTCAAAATTCCAACTAATTTTGAAAACACGTGATCCCGGATATGACACAATTTCAATTCGCGAGATTTGCCTAATTTCTCCTTCCATACTACGAACAACTCACTCCGCTCCGGATGATAGGAACTCATTTTGCAAAGAAACTCAAACCGAAGAAAGAATAAACACTTAAACCGCAAGCAAACGCAAACTAGAAAAATATTCACTTTGACAGTAAGCTCATGCTTGATCCTATATGACCATATTATATGAAGGATCAAAGTAGGCTGTGCGTGTGGTAAAGCAAGAGATGTCTACATAAACATAAAGGAGAGACAGATGAGAATGTTTATTCGTGTTGGTAACTAATACTTAAACACATCTTCGATGGGCATTTTTTTTTATTAAAAATTTTAGAACAAGCAATGCACCAGTAATAAATTGTACAAGAATGATATTGCCTTTAACATTAGATATTAAAATTCTCTTTATCACGTATCATTGAATGTAGTGTTAGTAGGACAACCTCAGCACAAACTTAATACCCTACAGGTGCATGTATGTATGATTGGATCTATTTACACAAAGAATTATATGAGAATAATGTAGAATATATGGTAAAAACTGCTGTATCAAATAGCTGTATTAATTTTGTTCCCGAGGGTTCCAGAAGCTAATTTTTTCTACACGTATGCTCAAAGTTATAACAAACTCAATGACGATTAGTGTCATTTCACGAACATTCACATTGTTTTTTAATTTTTTTTTCTAAAATTGATGATTTTTTCCTTCAAAATCACAGTACAGCAAACAAGAGTCAATAAATGTTGTTGACGTCTTCAGAAAAGTTATGTATTTTGATGATATCTGAAACTCTCTCGAATATAGTGAACCGGTAAAATTTGATTAAAATATGATTTAACTTAAAAACCACTTTTAAGGTACTCCTGAAAGAAAAATTATTATATCTCATTAGTTTGAAGATATAGAAATTTGATGTCTTCGACAAAGTTTCATGAAATGATTAGATCTACAACTTCACTCAAACGTCATATGTCTATCTCGTTTGTATAAAAAGTTAGTTTTTCTAAGTGTAATACCCCCTTAATATTAAACCCATTTTCAGCAACTTCTCCGAAAAAACCTCCCCTCGAAAACGTCAAAAATGATGAGAAAAGACTTTTGACCGTCTTTTTTCAGAACGGCCCCACTGTGTAACGCATTGAAACGCCATTCAAACGCCTTTGAATTCACTTCGGTCTATCGGATGAAGATAAAAATTGATTCGTTCATACGTTCTCATTGACTTCATTCGATGGCATTTGAACTAAAGTATCGTACCAAACGCATAATTGACTTGTTAGCTCTGAAATCATGGATTTATTTGTTGTTTTCTGTTGGCTAGGCCCAAAACGGGTGATTAGGTCGGAGTAGTTCTCTACCTTATTCGGTTTTGATACAGTTGTCATTCCTGCCTTCATCGCAAAGAATCGATTTTAATTTTAGTAGTAGTAGTAGTAGTAGTAGTAGTAGTAGTAAAAGTATGTTTATTTCTGTTGACTATGATACTACATTGATTTAACATTTTAATTGATTAGCCTACCTGAGTCTTCATCTTTGTTAAATTTGATATTCTAATTTAATATTTGCGTTTTTTAACTAGTTAACGTTTGTGTTACTAGTGTTTTGTTTGAATTGAAAAAAAGTGAAAACCTTCCTAACTACGAGTATTACTTAACCTAACGTATGAACTGATCACAGACATTTAACGGTCAATTTAAAAGTATCGTAGTTGGTAGTACGGCCACATGCGGCGCGCATAGTCATTTTCCTTGCGTTTGGCGTTTACACACTACCACCATCTGTTCAGTGTACTACCCACCACAGTGTACTCAACAGATAGTGCTAATGTTTCAGCGACGATGTTATACAGTGAGAAATATTCAATGTGTTATGTCTGTTTGTCTGTGATCTGATGATTTGATCTCAGACAGGTGTCTCTGAACCTTTCCAGGATGAATACTCTCCGTTCTTCTAATGTTTGAATTCCAGCCAGGAGGTGGATCTCAGAATTTTTAGTCTGCGGGGGACTGTTTAGGACCATCCTTAGGATCATGTTCTGGATCCTTTGGAGTTTAAGGTGATGGAATTTGGCGCAACTCTCCCAGATTGGCATCCCGTATTCTATTACGGGAAGGATGATTTGTTTGTAGACAGCAAGCTTATTTTTCAGGGATAGAGTAGACCTCCTGTTGATGAGTGGATACAGTGATCTTATCACGATGGTACACTTGGTTTTGGTTTTGTCAACGTGCTCCCTGAAAATCAGCTTGCTGTCTAGTGTTAAGCCGAGGTAGCCTACCTCGTTCGACCATTCCAACACTGTGCCGTTCAGGCAGATCTTATTATTCTCCGACGGAACAAGTCTGGGAGCTTTAGAGTGTGGAAAGATGATGACCTGGGTCTTTGCCGCGTTGATATGGATCTTCCAGCTATTGAAATATTCAGACAGGACGTCCAGGCCTCTCTGAAGTTTGGCAGTCAGAGCTCTGATGACCCTACCTTTGTAGACGATGGATATGTCATTCGCGAACAGAGACAACAATCCACCATCAGGGAGAGCCAGCCGGTGGTAGACTGCTCTTTCGAATAGTTTTGATAACCCTGAGAGAAGGCTGATTGGTCGATAACTTGAAGGAGAGGACGGATCCTTCTCAGGTTTCCGGATGGGTATGACTTTAGTTGACTTCCAACACGAGGGGAGCACAGATTAAAAATCAGTGCCAGATGGTTGTAGAATCTGGAACTCAAGTATTTGAGTTCCAGACTGAAGATGTTGTCGAAATCTGGGGCCTTCATGGAGCTATCAGATGAACCACTGGGTCGCTGGGACTATCCAGTGGGGTCAGTGGTGGAATGGGTCTTGGCTTATTTTTTAAGAATTTTGGTTAGTTTTCAAAAGGGCTTTGCATAATCAGGGAGAGAGCGGATCCTGTTAGCAAAGTCCTGGTTTCTGAGGTTCCCTTTAATATGTATATGCTACTTAGGTATACTTTTCATACGCCAACTTATTTATAATTATTACATCTCATAAATCAAATTTAAACCTCAATCTCAATACTCCCCACGCTTTTCCTTGTGAAGCACTCGTGTTTATTTACATTGCTCAATTGGAACCGCGTTTGACGGTTCGATTAGAGCTTTTGGTTTCAATCTTCGCGCGTCTCTTATTTAACATCGTCTCTGGGTCAAACCATCTCTCATAGCCACTTTGGAAGCGGTACTGGATAGTTCGGATTGTTGTTCCATTTGGTCGAAATGTTATGGTTATGTTAAGTGAAATATCAAACCCTATCTTCATGAAATATGCCCTCAAAAGATTATCCATAGAACCATACGACCATCGTAAAACTAGTTTGGACAATATCTTTATGGTGGTAGTGAAAACATGAATAGAGCTAATTGACACCATATTGATTTCTGATGATCCAGGTAATGGGTTTACATTCTGAAAATCCATGATTAATCATTATCATATCATACAACACATAATCAAATCATATCTACTCGGTGAAATATTGATCACAACTTGTTTTTGGCTATGTTACGTTCCCTCTGGGACTTTACGTAAGTTTTCAACAGAGAAATTTCTTTTCCCATCATCTCCTTTCCCTTTGCTTGAGGCAGGCAGGGAAATCAACCAAACCCGCAAAGGTTTCCCGTCTCTAATCCCACCGAAATCACTTCCAGGGTACAAACTACCACCCACCCCTCCGCCAGGAAAAGGGATCTCACACAGCTCACTCTCTGTCTCCCTCGTAGCCATGCACTAGCATTAGGAAGGATAAGCCATATTTTTTGTCTCCTTTTACGAATCGTACACTAGCGATAACCACCACCACCATCATCCGGACAAGACCGGGGCAGCTACGTTCACTCAATCCAATGCATTGAATTGGCTTGTTCTTCTCGGCAACATGAACGAATCGCTCCTGACCCGCATGAGCACCGCATCATTAAAATCAATGAGAAAATCATAATCCTCTCTTAATTGCCAATCGTCTTCTCCTAAGTTTGTTTGATGTTTTTGGCGAGCAAGCACCACATACGAATTAACCCCAACCGGATTCTTGTGATACGAGGCATAAATGGCAATTTTCCGATGATTTGATCCAAATTATAATGGGAGTCAGTTTTTCCTGCTTAAACGGAGGGGGATCAAATTCCGGACGTGTGAGAGAGCCCTAATAAATTTACGAGTATATTTATCAGACTTAAGTAATTTACGACCGCTTGAACAGAAACGATGGGTTCAAGGAATCAAACGCGTTCTGTCAATTAGCAAAAATGGCTGCGTGCTTTGAATCGGTTATGATACCGCCAGTGTTACGGCTGCAGTTCATAATGAAATTACGGTTATAGTGGATTTCGTGATAGGCAACACACACGGCCCGTAACGGCTGCCGTTTATCTTATCAACAACGGGTGGGACCCAACTGATAAGGCTTCCAAACCTGCCAGAAAGGGGGTTTAGTTGTGTATTATCGATTTAGTTTCGCTTCAGTCTGCAGGTTGTTTCGGTTGTTTCAGAACGGTACTAGCTCAGTTGTGTAATAACTAATTTACATTGAAGGGAAAATGGATTTTTTGTGATGTGAAAAGATTTTCATCAAGAAAAGTAAGGAATAAATTTAAAACGCCACAAGTCAAGTCAAATGATTGTGAAGGTGATAATGAATGATGGGTTGTGACGATAAAGCTGAACAGAAGTCGTGGTTTATCGACCCGTTTGGTTAAAAGTTTTGAGTGTTTTACAGCGAAAAATGTTAAATAGAAAATCTTCAAGTTACCGAACTGAGGAAGCAAATGTGACAGAACCTGTAGGGTGTAGAATAGATAATCTTTATCTTATCGTATCGAAGAAGCCTATGATGCGATGCGCGGTATCGTTATCAGCGAAAGTTTTGTGCAAGGTGCGATGCAGACGTGTGTGTTCTTCGTGACAACATCGAAAAACCAGCAACGACATGATTCATGCGTGAAAAAATATACCTACGACAGAGTTCAAAAAGGCGTATGATGCTGAAATAATGTCGGTAGCAAAGCATGGTCACTTTGCTGGTATTGGTATTTGAACTATGCCGATTTAAAACGCAGAGTCAAATTATTGTTTGTTTAAAAACGATGTGGGGTAGCCATTTTAAGATGAAATCATGACTTTCTAGCATTTCAACTTTTATTCTGAAGAAGGGAGCTGCAGCCCGAGTATGTTGTGAATCCAGATTATCTCATGATTGCCTAAAATCCTCAGCAGCAGGAATTAAAAAACTCAATGTAGAACCAACATCAAGTAGGAGGCGATCCATAAATAACGTAGACACTTTAGAAGGGTTCCCACCGCTTTATATGGGAGAGTGTCTGTGGTGTACACAAAGTTTCTATGGGGTTAAAAACTCTCAAAAACTGTCTACGCAGCTTAGGGAGCATTAATTAGATTGGTCCAACGAATGTGCCTTCGTCGCAAAATGCTGTGATTGATAAATAATTGACAACACGTCATATGATAACAAAATGCGCATTCCTTAAAAGTAAACAACACGACTTATAATCGTGAACTTAGGATGTTTATAATACTAAAGATAGTTTTAAGTTTTTCCAACACGGTTGGTGCATAACATTTTCCAACTAGTGTCTTGGACATTTTTTCCTAGATGGTGCCATGGTTTGAGTGGTAATCGTGACTGCTTTTGCACCCCAGTGTGTCTGAATTCAATCCCAACTGAGGTCATTTGGATTTTTCTGGAGTAAAAAAATTTTTGGTTACATCTTCCTTCAGAACGAAAGTAAAGCCGTCCCAAGTAACACAAATTCATCAAATTATGTTGAGTAAACTGCTATAGAACCAAAACCAGTCATACCAAGGTTATATAAACTGTTATAGAACATGTGTGTTGCTAGGAGTTGGTCCTGGCACATGTGTTGATGGTTTCGATGGTTCCAGGAGTGGTTGTCACCTCGCTGGCACCCAATTGCCGTCGGTGATTAATCACCTGCTGGCAGTGCTCGTCGACAATTGGCACTCAATTCGTAACAAAGACCGACTTTGAATAAAAAAGAAAAATATTTTATCAAAATTTTACTCATAAAATTAAGTCCTGATTTAAGGTGAATCGTTGGGGCATCCTTATTCTCGGAACCACTTCGAAACTTTAAGTGCACACATATCAGCTTCTACGACACGTGCAACATTCAAATTGTTACTTCACGTTTGCTACACAATTTAAGGTGAAATGGGGTACTTATTTCCAAGATTTGTGTAATAGAATATTCGAAGTGGAAGTACATGTATAACCTACGTGGCGGCCATTTGTGGACTCTACAAGGAGTCATCTTAACTACAATTAAATGGTCTGTTTATATCAAACCTACTATCGTAATAGTGCGTTATTTTCTACAGATCTAAGATATAAGGTAAACCCATAGAGATCCTGCAATTTTCCAAATATTCATAGAACATCCCTGAAAAACCTGGATTTTTCCGGAAGTTCGAAAAATTTTCCTGAAGTAAATGGAACTGCTTTGAAGTTTTCGAACCTACCAAGATGCTCACGGAACTTCCTTTACAATATTTTGACTGGATTACCAAAAAGTTTCAACAATTTTTCTGGAACTCTAAAAAGTTCCAGAAGTTTTAAAAATTGCCCAGAAGTTCTAGACACTTCTTTTAAAAAAATTCTAATTTACTTGAAGCTAATGAGACTGTCCTTAGCATCAATGTTCTTCCGTGAAGTTTTTGGAACGTCCCTAGAGTTCCTGAAATACTTATGAAACTCTATGTACTGTCCTGAGCTTAGTAGAACAGTCGTAAGAACTACTAAGCTTTATCGATAACCTCTGAACTTCGGTGGGGCTTTCAACGATTTTATGAAGTTTTCACATCTCTGAAATTGTCTAGACTACTGCACTTTTACTGGACTACTGAAATTGTCTCCACTTGCACAAAGTTTCCCCAACTGTAGAAACAGCCTGGAAACTGATGCATTCTTTTCTTT